TATATATATATATATATATATATATATATATATATATATTGGTCTATCTCTAACTTAATAAATCTCTAAATTAGTCTAACATATGATATCACCATCACCATGGTTGCTAATATACGAGTGTCTTGTAACCTGCTGGAACAGTTAGCAAACCACATTAGATGACACAGCATACTTGATTTATAATCATCGAATCAATACTAAGTCACACATCAGTCACAAGAGTTCATGAGTTTAATATAGAGAGACCTTTATAATTTGGCTTACTAAAGAGAATTATTTCAGGATCCTTTTTTGCATTTTTTTTTCTATCAACTGATAATAGAAAGCAAAAAACTTCCTCCAACGTTTAAGAGAATATAATGAGCTCCAAGAATAAAGCAATGATATTGCTGAAAATTTTATGAATTAATTTTCTGAAGTGAAATGAACACCATAGCTATACAAACAACACAAAATTCTAACTAGCATTAATGATGACTCATAAGTGCATATGAACACCACGAACAAAGTTCAGGTTCTACAAGATAACCGAGAAATGAATAAATTAATAAACAGGTTAAAACATCATGGTTCACACCAACCTCCCAAGGTAAAAATGCCAGCATTATTGATCAAAGCATGCAATGCTTCTTGCCGAGCATTCCAAGCTTTAGCAAATTGCATAACAGAATCCAGTGAGAGAAGATCAAGCTCCATTACCTTTAAGCAAAGAATGAAATTTTATTGGTAGGATGTATAAGATTTATTGGTGTATAATTATGTGTGCAACATGAGTCAAGAGCCTTCTCTCTAGATGCTTCCACACCTCAACATTAAGCGGCAAGCACAATCCTTGCTTTTCACTCTTCCACTTCTGAATCAATTCATATGCTGAGTTCATTCTCCTGACGGCCATGACAACATGGGCTCCTGCCTCAGCAAGTTGCCTATTTCAACCAAGGATTACCCCATGATTAATGGAAATGAAATTTGAAATGTTCAATGTAATATTTACTGAGTAAACATCGATTTGTAAAACATTTGTGGAGTGTAGTTGATAGAAACCAAGATATTTATAAGCATAGTTTCAAAAACACCGACCACCCAGAAGACTGGTGATCCCAACTTGGATTTGCACTTGAATCAGTAAAACCCATAGCCACCTGTCAATTTATAGTAAAGCTGGCTGAACCATCAAACCAAAAACTAGGCTGGGTTAATTGGGAAAAGCATATGCTATTACGAAGTTTCTCACATGCAGATTTACAGCCTAATACACACCTGTGGAACAGACCAGAACAATCACGTCATGCAAATGCTGGATTAACGTTTTTATAGGTAATAATGCACTCTAGAATTCTCTTAAACGCCACCAAAAGGGTATAAATATCAAATGAATATGGTTATCAAAACTATGTTCAAAATTACCTTCCATCTCCGTTTAGCATATATAAATAGTCTACTAAGCTTTCAAATGAAAAAAAAAATTCTTCATCAATGCATTATTTTTTATGTTTTACGATCAAATATAACATTAAAATCTAGTGCTTTGCAACCTAAGAACAACTTGTTGATTTAATTTGACCACCTTCTAATAATGCTTAACCATTACTTGATCTTGAGAAAAAAAATGAAAGGTTCGTAATGCCTCTTACTAAGAGAACCACACTATGATTTATTATTAATCAAGTCTATTGAAATTTTTTGTCAAATTATATATGCTCGAAAAATTGCACTTGACCCTAATAGTCCAGCGCCATAAAAATAATGCCTCTCACCACTAATTTACAATTTGATTGTACTATTTTAGGATCTAATAATATTTGTTGATGCTTAACATAGTGACATTAAAAAATGTGGTAGACTAGGTAAATAATGAAGTTTAGGCATTAAATATTATTAAAAAGAAGTGTTCATTATTACGTATCTAAAACCCCATATAAAATATATTTCATATAAATTTAAAATCAAATATTTAAGTACAAATTTATATTTTCTTCCTTATATCAAGTAAATTATTATTAATTCTCTTATAATTTGTTATTATTTTTTGTCATTTTATTATAATAGTTGTTTAAATCAAAATTATCTTCCCACTTTTATAATAGATGAGCTGACTCCAACTAGTAGAATTAAGCTCGGGCACAGTCAAGCTCAAGCTCAACTCAACTTGTTACAGCGATTCTAGCAATTCTTGTCTTATTTATCTTTGTTTACCAACAATCTCATATAGATTGAGTATTGTGTTTTGGTGTACTCATTTGATTTATACATCCACCAAAATCTAGAAAGATTTTAAAGCAGTTGCCTTGCAAAGAACCAAGGATTGGATCATCCTATCCCACAAAGACAGGAGAATGGGTTATCCTAGCCCTTAAGGACAAGAAGGGGTGGGGTGGTGCTACTTTTCCAACTTGTAGAAGTATGGATTGTACAAAGGTTACTCCGCCTATTGGGGCAAAAGAGGGATAGTCGATTTCCTAAGAAAGGGATGATTGGGATGTGGACATATGTGGTTAAAGCCAACAACATAAAAATTGGTTTAAGCATTCATTACTTATCTTTTTTTCTAGTTTTACACTTGTGATTAAATTGTTGATTTATTTATCTGGATGTTTATATCTATTGTTTTTGAGAGATCTACCTTCTAATGTGCATAAATCTTCATTGCTTGCCTATAAGCTTTGCATTGATTTCTACACTGTGATCACATTCGTACTCTTTGTGAAAAATTGTGTTAAATATCTTATTTTTTGTTGAACTTCAATATGTGGGTTATAAAGAAAGAATTCACAAGAAACTTCATGTATGGTGTAACCTAACCCAACAAATAGTATAAGAGCCTAGCATTCTTATTTAGCCCTATAAATACCAACAAGCGGTTCGAAAGCAAGTTCTCATATTTAGAATCTATCATGTAGCATCAATTTGTATAAAGCAAAATCACTTTACATTAGTCTTCACATCCTATAGTAGATCCTCAGGGCACATATTTTCTCTGGCAATTACATCCTAGAGGGGAAAATCCATTTCCAGACCCCCACTCTTCAAAACATTTTAACTAATTTTCCAGAAAACAAGAATGTCTATGTTCTTTTTATTATAGCCTTTAGAATGTGGCAAATGATTGCAAATGTCTACATTTAACTCACTAAAGTTATTAATGTCATTTCCATTGAAAATATTTTTAACAAATGGCCACAAATGAAATCAACTTAGCACAACTCAATTCTAGAGCTATCACATATTTGTTTGTGCACTCACATTAGAGGTCTACATTTGTGTTTGCACATTAAAAATTAATGAGTAGATATGCAATAAATTGCATGCCATATATGAAGACAACAATTAGGTTAATGAATTTGGCCTCAATCTTTTTATACATAATTTTGAATTACTTTCTATAAAGAATGATGAATTCATATTTGATATTTTTCTTGATTTAATACTAATATAAATGCAGTTAGTTATCTTGAAAAGTCTCTTCCTAATCAAGAGCTAGCTTTGAGTTTAGAAAAACAAAACATTCGAAAAGACATTTATTTTTACCGTTTTTAATTTCAATTGAGAACTCAGGAAAGGATATGCCTCTTTTATATTCGTATTCTCGGAGGAAGTTTCTTCCCATTAAATAAAAAGGAGACAAATATGCATATAGTGAGAAGTTAGTTGTATATATGAATTATGAATCGTACTCACACATAATGGACCACAACTTTTCTCTCTTCATTGGCACCTAACTTCAACCATAAAGAGCTGCACGCAGCTTAATATCATGAATTAAATCTCTTAAATGATCACAACAAAAGTAGGCATTATGCGTTTGTTCATTTTGATCAAACTATCATGAATTAACTCTCCTAAATGACCTATAAGAGAACTACCTCAATAGAGAATACATTTGTTCCTCGGAGTAGTAAAATTTATTTCCTGTGTCTATTTTCCAACGCTAAGTTACTCTCACAGCTCCCAACGAGTTATAAAGCTCAAATAAGATCAAATCCTGAAAAGTATTTTGCTTACCTTCTGCGGACAAAGCATGCTGCATAACTAGTGGGGAATAGTTTCCATTATCTCAAGGTTATTCAATGCAAGCCATTAAAAAGAAGAAAGGAGATAAGAATATTGGGTTCACAGCATATCAAATATTCCACAAATATCCATACACGAAACATCAATTTAACAATGAAACACAGAACACAGCAAAAACAAAAAAATAACAGCAGATTCTGCAAGAATTGAGATGGAGAAAGCCCGCAAAACAGCGGGAAGAAGAAAGGAGACCTGGCAATTTCTAGGCCGATTCCGCTAGTGGAGCCTGTGACAATGCAAGTAAAGCCGTTGAGGTGAGGAAGGGTTAAGGGATTCTCAAGATGGCTAGCTGAGATTCTCTGGAAGAAGAACTCCCCGACGACGTGCAGCCAACCTCTTCCCCACTCCGGCCAATCCAGCTCCTCCTTCTTCCTGCTCTCTCTGACACCGTCCGCGTCGCCAGCGGCGGAAGTGGAAAATAACCCTGAGCTTATAGCCATCGTCCTCTTTCTCCCTCTTCGCCGAGGAGAAATTATTCTGCGTCCGGACTCCTAGGGGCTGCTTGTTTGCAGGATTTAGGCCGGATTTGAAGCGTATTTGAGCTAAATCCAGCCAAACGGCCAAATGTCGTAACTTCCGATCCAACAACAGGAAGGGAACGTCGTCGAAGGAGGAAAGTCGAACAGCGCAACGAAGAACTCCTCCAACACGCTACACTCATGCGAAGGATCTAGGCCTGTCAATATTTGACACTAATCAAAATCCGACCCAAAATTTTTGGAATAGAGTCAACCCTGATCTGAAACTGGTTGGGCTCGGGTTGACCCGTATGAAATTTTGGGTCGAATTCGGGTCAATCCAAAAAACCCAAAAATGACCCGTTTCAACCCAATTTCCAAACCGCGGCAACCCGTTGCCTGCCCGGCTGCCCCTGCCGCCCAAGTAATTACCTAACAAATTTACAATTTTTTCCTTAGGGCATTTAAGCTTAGGCCTTAGCATATTATTTGACGTTTGTCTCTCTTCGAGCGCCAAATGATGAAACGTCCAAGCTTGGGCTGCTCGATTTCGCTAAGATTTCCTACCTCCTTCCCGGCCATTTTCAGATTTTCTCCTCCTCTACGGCTCTTCATCCTCAACTCTGTTGACCTCGATTTTGGTTCATGAGCTTTTTTTTTACTTATATTTACCGCCGTGCGCTTTACGTGCGCTTTACATGCTTTTCTGTGCGCTTTCCATGCGCTTTACCTGCACTTTCCATGCATTTTGCCTTCACATGAGGCATTTTGACTCATTTGCCCGCGGTGCACTTTGGGTGCGCTTTTCCTGCGCTTTCCATACGCTTCGCCCGCACTTTACCTGCGCTTTCGACAAGCTCGACTTAAGATTTCGCTGGACCCCGAACGGCTCCGCACTTAGCCGCGACGAGTTAAATTTGACCTAAATTAATTTCAATTTGGGTTTAATTTTATTTAATCAAGTTGATCAAACTTAGCCCGATTCTAATCGAACCAATTTGAATTAAATTCACATTCAAATCTAATTCATGACAGCCTAAATTAATTCTAAATAGATTCTGAATCACTTTTAATAAAATTTGAATGCGATTGCAAAATCAGGAAATTATCTCAACGGCTGCGATCAAACAAAATCTTCATTTCGGCCGAAATCCCGCGTCTCAGAGATTTTCTACGACTCGAGCAGACGTCGAGCAGTGGGAAGAGCTGCTAAAGGAAATTTCGGAGGCTGGAGTATGACGAGGCGATTTGGCGGGCTTCCTCCTTCAGCGACGGGTTTGATTTACTCAGAGCGAAGCTCTCGACTACAACAAAAACGCTCTCGCTCTCGATCGACTCTTGCTCCCTCTCGGTCTCTCTCTCGCGCTTCGCTCCCGCTCTCTCTCTCTCTGGATTTCACACGCCCGAGATATCTCCCTCGCTCTCGATCGCACTCTCTCAGGTTCCAGGAGCCGAACTCCCCCTTTCTTCCTCTGTTTTGGACCGAACCAAGAGGGATCGCCTCTCCCTCTCGTGCTCTCTCGCTCACGAAGACCAGCCGACGCTACCCAGCCCGGCTCCCTTCCTTCCTTGCTCTCGTTCGGAACCAGCCAGACGCCCCTGCTCGTGGGCTCCGGTCGCACCTCCACGTCCGAACCAGCCCCGGTCTCCGTCTCCCTCCATTCGTGCGACCAGCAACGACGCCGGAAGCTATCAAACCCCTCTTTGTGAGTTTTCTTTTCCTCCTTCTCCTTCTTTCTTCTTCTTTTCCTTTTTTCTTTCTTTTTTCTTTCTTCTTTCTTCTTTCTTCTTCTTCATTAGTGGATGGAAAGGAATTTGTGATATTCCTTTGCAAAAATCTGAGAATGAAATTTCTTTAAATTGTTCTTTTGATCCTTAAGCCTATGTCTTGTTGATGAAGTGATGATCTTATGTATTTTGATAAGATTGTGGTGAGTTGTTTAGAGAGTGCTAGTTGTGATTTAGGTGTGAACAATCCTTCTTATATGGATTTGTTTTATAGCTTTGCAAACATTGCACTTCAAATATTTGATTAAATGCCATAGGAGGAGGGTTGTGATGCTTAGTTAATGGCTACTCATGATACTCAAATTTGCATGTAGAACTTCTTCACCAAATTTGTTTATGGTCATATTTAGTGTAAAGAGTCCATTTCATTGCCTTTCTATATTGGTAAAAAGCTGGATATGGCTACGTTGGTTAAAGCCTTCTCTAGTTCCTTTTTATTTCCTTGAAGAAAAAAAAAATGTTTGAAGTTGCAAGTATAACTTATGATGTATTGGTCTTATGGCTTCTTCTCTTTCTTGAGCAACCGATTTCTTGTCAACTTTTTATACAACATGCCTTACTTGCTTGGACCTAAAGACTTATTGCTAGCGGTAAGTGGGAGGGGCTATATCTTCATTAGCTTATGGTTGAGATAACTTGCTACTAGTAGTTTAATGATGCATCCATTGTCGTTTCCGGTTATATAGTTTTGTTCTACTTATTTAACTACAAAATGGAGTTTTAATCTTTTTGGGAAGTAGTGGTGGTTATTGCTAAACGTGGATAATTCTCTTGTGATTATTTTCTTGGCATTTAGAGTTCGCACTTGATCATGGTTTGAATCATGTATTGGTTGAGTTCATGAGAAATTTGTAGTGGATCATAAGGTGTCATGATCTCCGAAATATGCATACAAGATATTCTATGCTTCATTTTATCTAGACTTTAGTTTATCCATATGATATAAAGTATTGCCCTTGGTAAAAGTACTGTTGAGAATTTATGAATTTCATGATGTTGAAGAGAGAGCCTAGTGTATGAACTGTTGCGGAGTTTCTCATTCTCATAGTTATATGTTCATAAATTTTCTTGAAATATGTAATATCATATAACTAGAAAGCTATGATTTATTGGAATATTTTATATACTCATATGGTTAGTTTGGGAAGTCGACTTGATTCGGTGCGAGGTCACATGATTTCTATTAAGTAACTTTCATTGAGCTTCTTTTCTTCCTTTCACTTGCTTAAGATTGGATCAAAGCAAGCAAATGAAGTTTGGAACATATCTGATCATGAGAAAATTCTTGGGTGATAAGTGCCAACGAAATGTGTATGCGAGATTTTCATAAATGACTATGGGTGCAAATGCTAGTTCTATGCAAAATTCCTACAGCTTTTGTATAGATTTGGCTACTGTTTTCATAAGCGAATGAGTGCAGATTTTGGATATATTATTGTTGTTTTTATATAAGAATTCCTATGGCGTTTGGGTAGATTTGTTATCGCTTTGTCATGAACTTCCTACAGCTTTTGTGGAACTTTTTTCACTATTTTTGCAAGAAACTAATGCAGATTTTTAAGGTTTCTTTTTACTGTTTTTACATAAGAATCCTCACCGCTTTTGGATGGATCTTGTATTGCTTCTTGGTGGAGATTTCTGCAGCTTTTGTGAAGCTTTTTCCACTATTTTTTGTAAGAAACAAGTGCAGAATTTTACTCTTTTTTTTATGTCCCAAGTTGCTTTGGAATAAACTATATGCAGACTTTCATACATTTCTAAATCCCAAACTGTTTTGGTAAGAAATAGGTGCAGTTTTTTTACTGTTTTAGGCTCCAAATGGCATTGAGTAGCAAAGTATGTGCAGATTTTCTTATTGTTGTAGCCTCCCAATTGTGTTAGAAATGAGCTAAGTCAGATTTTCAATTGTTTTATGCTCCAAGTTGGTTTGTAGACAAGTTAGATGCATATTTTCATTCATTTCGTGCCTCAAATCTTTTTTTTTTTTTGTAGATAAAGTTTGGAAAATGTCTATATGCTTTCCTCTTTTAAGAAAATCTTTGAGCTTGTTGAAATTCATTGAGATGAATATTGCTTGATTATATGCATTGTTCTTGAAGTAAGAAATAGACTTATGTTTCCCTTATGTTGGCACATCAAGTATCTGTTTGGCCTCTTTAAGTTATAGTTGGTTGAGGGAATTTTATGTGTATTTCTAGAATTAAATGGTTTCATATGGTATAAGTAAGTAGCATGTTGAGGTTATGTCATTTGAGAATGAGCAATTAATATAAGAGGTTTACGCTTGATTCATGTCATGTTACATACAGTTCAAGTGAGAATATGGGCAAGTATTAAAAGAAATCATGTTGTTTTTTTACATCAAATCATGCACATTAGATTTTGGGTGGAATGTTACAAAAGAGAACTTAGTCTTCTTTGCTTGCATTAGAACTTTTGTATGGTAAGCTGGTTCGTTTAGAAATTGTCTAAATGCAATGTTTGAAGTGTTTCTTTTGTGAAGTTTTAAAGTAGAGATTGTTGAAAAATGTCACAAGTTTTATATTTGATTTCATGTTGGAAAGAGATTTTGCTAATTATTTTATATCAAAAGGTTTTATTGAAGATTTTTGTGAATGTTTTGTGATGAGTGCTTTGCAATGAGAGGTCTTTATAAAACCTTCTTGTTGGAAAGTTTTGTGTTTTCTATCACACTCCAAATGAGAGGAGAGGCACTTGATTAGTGGTTATTTGGATAGGATTTTGTGACAAAAAGGGATTTTGGTAGATAGCTTTTGAGGAGGTTTCGCGTAGTAGCCCATTTGAAAAATCTTAGCAAGTTATTTCAAGAGGTATGAATTTATGATTGAACTTGTGTAGTAGGATCTCTTAGTATCCTTTGGGGAGTAGTTAATGCTTTCCTATTTGAATCAAATTCTTTTAGTGGTTATGGCTAAGGATGAACATTGGAGGTTTAGACTTTAGGAAGTTTTGGGTTAGACCCTTTTAGAGTCTCTTTCCATAGGATGGATTTTTGGAGTTTGGAATCTTAGAGAGCTTGGAGTTAGAAAACCTCTAGTGTCTTTTTAGGAATAGGGTATTACTCACTTGTCTGGTTTAGATTCCTTTAACATTAGCTTCCATAGAGAAGAAGTATAGAATTTTTGGGAGAAATACAAAACAAAAGAAAACTCTTACTTTGGATTTAGAGTTGGGGATTTGTATTCCATTAGTTGAGGTAAGATTTGTTTAGAGTGCGTAGTAGGTAGATGTCTTGAAAATATCAAGTGCCTTATTTGGATAGTGGGAACAACAAAGGGCATTGTTGCTGTCATAGGATCCACTTAACTTCTACGAAGTGTATCCAATAACAACAATGCCTACACCCCTTTTTGTATTGAATTTTCGTTCTTTTTTTCTTTTCACTGCATTTATTTGTATTTTAC